GGCGATCAAGTGATACATGTAGGATATATTTCCTAACAGGATCAATATACAATGTAACTGCCATTTTACAAACGAAATGTTGACTTTATATGAAATTGTCCCTGTATTACCAACTTTACTGTCAATAGCCTGATTTGGTAAAAAACTTATCGTACTCGATGCATGCTACATGTACTGAGTATCGAATAAGATGAGAGATATAAAAATCACATGCAGATGATAGCGAGATATGACAACATATCTTTGTAAAAAATTAAATCTTCCCTTTTTCGTTTTCTTACACGTACACTTTAGTTGGCTTATTGTATAAAGTCAGTAAAATACATAAAAAAAAGATCTGACATACTCTGTGGTGTATTTAATTTTAAATTCATTTGGGTAAATCGAATGGACATATGAATGAAAGTAATTATTATTAACTGATAATATATTGCCGACATACCGGGTATTTAAATGTTCAAAAATTCTTCTCATGTAGTAGTTTTTGAATAAATTTTACTCCATAAGTTTATAAAAACATGTTAGCTTACATTTAAGCACAATTTGTGATAATCTGAATTCTGAATATTTCGTGAAAATCTTCTAGAATATGCTGTAAAACAATAAGTGTATAGATGCTCCTTATTAGCAGTTAATAATTTTGTAAGGATACGACAAAGGAGAGCATTTCCTTGACTCTGAAGTTTAAGTGATCTTTAGATCCTTTAGTTGGCGTTTGTATGAAGTTTGGGGTTGGAATCAAATAAAGATAGGATAGATCGCATCAATCTTGGGTGTCTGGAATTTTAAAAGCTATAAATACTATAATGCGATCTTGGAAAATTGTTTTCATCTTTTAAAAGTGAAATACGAGTATAAGTAGAATTTTCAGATGTAGAATTAAAACTAAGTTCTTCTCAATACAGTCATTATAACTGGCCTCACAAACAAAGACAATATTGGCTTTAAGCTTGACGACTCGAACCATAACATATTGTTTATATAGTCTTTCGAAGGTGCATAGATACAGATTTGAAGTTAATATTTTCTCAAATTTTCTGTATAATATCACGACTTATATATTGCAATAGAATTTCACACGAAAATATATTTAAAATCTTATTTCATCTAAAAGTTATTGAAATGGGTTTGATTGACACATCCTCGCACTTTCATAAATTATAATTCTATTCTTTATACTTAGGAAAAGGGAATCGTAAACCTTAACAATAACAGAGCTCGTGTCCTGTTATAAAAACTGTGTACGTTTCACTGGTGTGTTCAATTTGCTAAACTCTGTACACAACACTAAGTGCGGAATGACGAAACTTGTGAAGGGGTTTTGCTTTCGAACAATTCTATTCTACTCTAAAATCTGTGAAGGTGCAATGATGTGTCAATCAAACCCATCCAAAAATTTGAAGTTTCAATAACTTTGAGATGAAATAAGATTTTTAATTTATTTTCGTGTGAAATGTTATTACAATATTTAAGTCATAATATTATACGGAAAATATTCACTTCAAATCTGTGTCTATGCACTTTTAATTCTTTGATTAACTCCCACACAGTGAAAACGAAAGGATAGATGATTCGCTTACTGTCTTTTGAATATATTTTATACAAATTAAAGGCATCTTTATCTTACTCGAATATCTATAACCGAAATTTCTCCTTTTACCTGATTACCTAAAGGGCTATTGTTCACGTGAAAGCTTTCTCCATATAACCAAATATCCAAAACCGGCCGTTCTTATCTTTTTAGCTCACCTGAGGCGAAGGCTCAAGTGAGCTTTTCTGATCAAAATTTGTCCGTTGTCTGTCGTCGTTGTTGTCGTCGTCGTCGTTGTCATTAACTTTTCACATTTTCATCTTCTTCTCAAGAACCACTGGGCCAATTTCAACCAAACTTGCTACAAAGTATCCTTGGGTAAAGAGGATTCAAATTTGTTCAAATGAAGGGCCATGCCCTTTTTCCAAGGGGAGATAATTATGAATTATTGAAAAATTAATGGCATTTAAAAAAAATCTTCTTCTCAAGAACCACTGGGCCAGGAAAGATGAAACTCATGTGGAATCATCCTCAGGTAGTGTAGATTCAAATTTGTTCAAATCATGACCCCCAGGGGTAGGGTGGGGCCAAAATGGCCGATCAAAGTTTTACATAAGAATATATAGGAAAAATCTTTAATAATCTTCTTCTCAAGAACCACTGGGCCAGGAAAGATGAAACTCATGTGGAATCATCCTCAGATAGTGTAGATTCAAGTTTGTTTAAATCATGACCCCCAGGGGTAGGGTGGGGCCAAAATGGCCGATCAAAGTTTTACATAGGAATATATAGGAAAAATCTTTAAAAATCTTCTTCTTAAGAACCACTGGGCCAGGAAATATGAAACTCATGTGGAATCATCTTCAGGAGGTATAGATTCAAGTTTATTCAAATCATGACCCCCAGGGTAGGGTGGGGCCAAAATGGCCGATCAAAGTTTTACATAGGAATATATAGGAAAAATCTTTAAAAATCTTCTTCTCAAGAACCATTGGGCCAGGAAAGATTAAAACTCATGTGGAATCATCCTCAGGTAGTGTAGATTCAAGTTTGTTCAAATCATGACCCCCGGGGGTAGGGTGGGGCCAAAATGGCCGATCAAAGTTTTACATAGGAATATATAGGAAAAATCTTCTTCTCAAGAACCATTGAGACAGGAAAGATGAAACTCCTGTGGAATCATCCCCAGGTAGTGTAGATTCAAGTTTGTTCAAATCATGACCCCCGGGGGTAGGGTGGGGCCAAATGGCCGATCAAAGTTTTACATAGGAATATATAGGGAAACCTTTTAAAATCTTCTTTTCAAGTACTTCAAAGCCATGCTTAGTGATATTTATAGGGAATCATCCTCAGGTAGTGTAGATTCTAGTTTGTTCAAATCATGACCCCCTGGGGGGTTAAAATTCAAGTCCCCCCCCCCTCAGTAAACTTTCAGTTCTGATCTGATATGTGCTTTTTCCTAGCCAATTGCTCAGGTGAGCTATGTGGCCCCTGGGCCTCTTGTTACATTATGTTTTTAAATACATGCATTGTACATTGTATGATACTGCTGAAAGGTCAGATAAAATGTACAATATATGTATATTTATATTTTTGATCCAATATTGGCATTATAATTTTGACTGATTCAAATACATATTTATTTATCATTAATAATGTTTGGCTTCACTAGAATCTTATCTCATAATGTTTGATTCAAATGACAAGTGTCAATAAGGCTTATATGTGGTCCCTGGTAACTCGTCAAATTCGAACATTCATTAAAAGCCTTAAAAATAAAATTTTATTATTAAAATATGTCTTATTATTTGAGTCATAATCTAAAAATGTCAAATAATAGATATAAGCATCATACGAAGCTGCGTTTTGATGTTAGGGTCCTTTGATTTTCATGAAAATCAACAGAAATCGCTGACAGGTACACACTTTAAAGCTTTCGTTAACATCGAGCACACGTTTGTTCAGAGTCGAGTTTGAAATATAATGCGTATTTTATATGTGTAAAGGTTGAGTAAAAATATCTTTGTTGAACAACCTTGTGCTCTTTGTTTTCTAATTAACAGTATTGTGATTTCGAACCTCTTAGCTGTCTTCATTTACATGCAATTAACCTCTTTATGACCTGTTTAGAATCATAACAACCCACGTGGATTTGTGTCGTTACGGGTGAATGCCCGCAGTAAACGTGCTAGCTAGCTCTCAGTTGAACCGCTACATTTTTTTCAGATTTTCGACCGATTATTACCTCTACATTTTTTTAGTCGAAAACAACTCATTACCGCTACATATGGAACCAGCCAGGTATCCAGGTACGGAATATAAGTTCCAATCAAGAAGCTTTCATAAATAATAATAATCAGCACAATATTTTACATTTGTCATTCTAAAGAATTTGAATTTTTGGAAATGTTGACAGAATTAAAATACATGGCAATCTTAAATAAAACCTTTTGTTGCTGTCATGTAAGCATGCATGTAAATTGCTTCAAATATTTGAATATATTACTTAGTCCATGATTTGTTGTATTTTGAGTCGCGTGTGAATGTGGGATTTTGTATTTCAAGGGATACAGGTCTTATGCATGTATATGTTGTACTTTACATCAATCTGTACATGGCTAACGAAATTGACAACGTAGCGGTAATGTATACTTTTATATGTAGCGATAATGTAACTCTTTTGTTGCGGTGACGACTATGTAGCGGTAATGCAAATTTTGAAAATGTAGCGGTAATGATACGCACCCGTTGAAACGTACCTAGTTTTATATATTTTAGCATGAACTTTTTTGGTTAATCTTGTGAACGTATTTCGCTCAAATCTTGTAAATAGAAAATTTGTAGTTGATTGTGAATCTTGAACATATAATCCGTCTTTGGATGGAAAATATCATGTATCAAGAATATTCTTTTTATAGTATCCAATCTAAATGTCTCCACCCTTTTCCATGTAAAAGAGAAACCGTAGTCTGATGAAAATGTTCCGGCATTTTTAGTGCAATGGGTGTTAAAAATTGACTTGTATTTTTTTTTTCAAATGTTTAATGATTCATTACAGAATTAATGCACAATGCTTTAATTAGAAATACTTTGTTATACACTATGAAATCAAACAAAATACCCTTTGCTAATAAATAACCAAGAGTGTAAAAAGGGACCACGCTACTATACTTAAGTAGGATACTCCTTTGTTATTCTTTCTTTATTCTATGGGTTTCATCAGTATGGATGTGTCTAAATAAACACTTAGATATATAGTAAGAAGTAAGTACAAAGTATTATTTTCAAACTCTCTTGGATCCCATCTGCTTAAACAGCATGATTTTTAAAAATAATATTCATTTGCATTGATCATTCCAAGCATTTATTACATTACTAGGATATTTTCGTTTAATTTAGTGACGTTTCCCTCTATAAACACTCATTTTCCCCTAGTTACCGTTACCAGATGGCGATTTGTGTCTTTTAATGACAGGTTAGTATATCCGTAAAAAAGGACGAATTTCATTTATGCGTAGTTGACAATCACGTGCCTGCAATAATAACATAATGACGTAATGGGATCGGTTTAGATGGATAAATAGCCCGCTTTTTCAACTAAATGTTTAATCTCTTGTCTGTGAAAGAACGAGGTATGTATTGAAATTAGATATATTTATTGTATATATTTTTAAAAAAATATTTAGTAACTTATTAATGAAAGTTCTTTTTTTAAATCACAGGATTTTTAAAAACAATTTTGAACGAGAAATGTATCTTAGTAAACTCCCAAAAGATTTAAGAATTATGTTAACAAAATTTAGAACTTTACTAAGATACATTTCTCGTTCAAAATTGTTTTTAATTAAATCCTGTGATTTAATTATTTAGTTGAATTTTCTAAGCCCATATCCCGGTCTTATAAAAATTGATCTAGCAATGTTTCTTTCACAATAGATCTTAACTATGTAATACTAATAAAACTTTGATTCATTCATACATAATACAGACCACACGAATTCAAGATGTCTCTTATCCATTTCAGCCATTCTCCAATATCACAACCGTTAAATCATTATTATAAACATTATTATAAATCATGTTTAACCTTAGTGTATTCATTCACAATGAATTTAATTTAGCAATACTCGATTGTTCTTTGTTCAACTTATCAAAAGATTTTTCTTCCTTTACTTAGAATTAAAAATTAATGATATATTTATGAATTTGTTACGATCATATCCTTTACAATAAATTAATTATAATCGTTTTTTAATCTTGTACAGAGCAATAAGATAAAAAAAATATTTTATTAATCTTCCAGATATTATTTAATTTTCAGCAAAATATACACCTTCCAAATGAAGTATTTAGCTGTCCTTGCGTTAGTAGTCCTGTTTACCATTAACTGCTGTGAGGGATGTGGAATTTGGAATGAGAATAAACCTTGTCAGTGTGCTTGTGAGGACCGGAGTGAGTCCTGTAGACAGACCTGCTACTTGATGTGTCGATATTCACGCTGTAGAAGCACCGAGCTTATACAACAGAGGCGATGTTACGACAACTGCTTCAACACTTTCAGATCCTGTTACAACGGTTGTGGTAGTGGATAGATGGTATGCAGCGAAAAACATCACCATCAACATTCAATAGTGTAAAAATCTTAATAAAATCCAAATGCTGATTAAAATACTCGTCATGAACATTTTGTTTTGTTGTTTTTGGTATAAAATGTATTGTAAAATGCTTGTATTATTAGTGAAAACTGAACACTTTCTACTGCAAGGAATGTTCAAGTAGAGTCTTTTCAGTCGGCAGGGGATGCTCACTCCTCCATCGCACCATACCCCACCTCTGATGTCTTGAAGGGCCATGTTTTTTCTGCTCCTTTTTTTTATTACACACTTAGTAATAAATACAGGTTTTTTGCATATGCGATATGGCTGACGTCACAATAGCCGTATCAACCCTGCAGGGCTGATATGGATTTGGGGGGCTGATATCCGTATCAGCCCTGCAAATCCATATCAGCCCTGCAGGGCTGGTACGACTATTGTGACGTCAATATCACACCCTTAGTAAATTAAACCACAATATATCAGTACTTGTGATCATACACAATTTTTGGTGCGTTCATATTCTCTTGATTTTAACTTTTTGAAAATAAGGTTAATCTTAATTTACAAATACATGTAGTACTATCGAATATTTTCAAATGACGGATCAAGTGCATTGAAATAGAAGTAGAAACAAACCCTAATCTTATGAGACATAAGACTATGTACATGTATGTAAGACGTCTATGCATGATTATTTGCTTACTTTTTTCTCAACTGAATGTGTTCTGTATTTTATTACCAAGTATGTAATAAATATAATAATACATACCCTTTTCCACATCACATCCTGTATCAGCCCTCGACCAATATCAGCCCTCGGGCCTTCGGCCCTCTGGCTGATATTGGTGTCTCGGGCTGATACAGGATGTGATATGGAAAAGGGTATGTATTATTCTCTATATATTGTTAAACGAATTTTTGAGCTAAAAAACTCTTCGGTATCTCTAAATGTTTTATTACAGCAATAAAGATCATTATCGCCAGGGACGGCAGATTAAATTAATATAAGATGTCCTTTTAAAAGTTAAATGTGTGTCATATGTCTATCTGAAATTATGACCTTGACCTCAATTTTTGTTTATTTCAGTTTAAAGAAATGTATTTGATAGAATTATTTTCAATAGTATCTTTAAAACTGAGGCAGATTGACCGTGAACCAGATTGTGAAAAAGCTGACAATTTCATCGGGTAGCATTTAAAAGATTTCAAAAGAACATTAAGGAATTAGGAAAGTATCTGCGAGTGGATCCCATACATTTTGAATGACAAGCAAAAAAGAAAGCGATTAGTCTAGAACTTTGGAAAAATTACGAAAAATATTATATAAGACGTTTACATGAAATTGTTACGGGGGATGAAATTTGGCTACATTTTTATGAGCCTGAGAGAAACCTTAAAAACAAAATGTGGCTCACAAAAAAAGTAAACAACTTACTATTGCTTAACGCTACAAGACAGCAAGGAAGGTTTTGTATATGATATATATTTTTAAACTAACGGGGTAGTCGCTCAAATTCCAATTTAAAAAGGGTAAACGTGTTAATTAAGCTGTTTAAGTAAAAAATATATTGTCTGAAGTATAAAAATATTTCAAAAACAGAAGACTGAAGTCCACAATCAGGGGGACAAATCTTTTACATGATAAGGCCCCAGCACACACTGCAAATTACACACAAGACTTCGTGTGTGAAAATGGAATAAGGCAGCTGGATCATCCCCTTACCCACAAGATTAGTCCCAATATAACTTTTTTCTAATTCCGTACATTGAAAAAATGCTATCTGAACGGTGTTTCCATTCATGTTCAGCTGTGTATCTGTGTCTAAAGGGCATACCTCTTTCGGATTTAGCAGCGCATTCCAAAGCTGGATAAACTACTTCAAAGGTGTGTTGAAGAAATGGGTGATAATTTAGAAGGGATGTAAATGAAATACAAAAATATTAATAGGTTATTTCTTACTTTATTAAAGTCTTAATATTTATTGAATAGCCCTCATAAAATGGCTTCACGATAAGTATTTAAAAAGTCACACAATCGATTTGAACAGTCATAGTGAGGTTACAAGCAATTGCAAAAATATTTACAATTAAATTAATAATCAGAAGGTGAAGATTATAAATAACACGATTGTCGTCCGCTTGGTGCGATGGTTAGAGCGTTTGTCGCGGAGTGCGGAGTGAGGAGTTCATCCTTATCACACATGTTTGAAACCTCCAGCGGATTGTAGAAATCCGTCTTTCTAAAAAGATCGTATAAACCGAGATTGCATGCGGTTGAAGATGCTGGAAAGAACTCGAAAGAGATCCATTCACTGCTCAAAGACCGAAAATGTATGTGTTTAAATATCCAGCATTCCAACTGGTAGGTGAGTTTCACTCATATTGAGACGTCGCGTCTCAATATGAGTGAAACTTTCGAAGGTGTTAAAACAAACAAACAGATTATTATTTCTCTTCTGTATTTATTTGTAGGTATAATCGTATATTATAGTGTTACATTTACAATTATCCAATATCATTTATAATGTTAATCGCAAATAAAGTGTCAACTGAATAAGATTAATAAAAATGAAAATGAAAATCCTAATCACCTTTGGCACCGCTGATTTATTTCCATAGCATCATTTAAAGTACTATAAGTGTGCCCAGTACGATAAATCGTTTACATGATCATGGATTAGTCCTGCCGGTCCTTTCATGTCGGTGTCTTCATATGTATATCAATTATCACCATTGCCTATTACGCTGAAAACTTTTTTGTTTAGCAAATCTATGTAAAAAAATAAGTTATTGTTGTTCGCACAAATATATCTGACATCATCTCCGTCAACAGTTATTGTTTTTGTTTCATCAAGATCACTGTCGCAGAACACTATACTATTCTTACCAGCAATAAGCGTCGTCCCTCTTCCGCAATAGCACACACCATAGCAATTGATTGCAACGTCGATGATTTTTTTTTCACTGAGATCTTCAAAACTGCCAATTAATAATTCCTCTTCTTTTGGGAATATCACGACAAATCTATTGTCGGGTAGAACAGCTACGTCATATTGTAACAGAGACAATTTATTGCCTCTGCTGGGATCTTTGCTAACTGGTTCCTGGTTGGTATTGCAATGGCATAGCGAGTGAAATGGTCAGTGATCACCAGGATGTTCTGGTATCCTCCCTTGGATGTTTCTAGACTCAAGTAGTCCATACAGACCAACTCCAATGGTGCACTGGTGGTGATGTTCACAAGGGAAGCTCGTTGATTGGTTGGTGTCTTCCTCCTGGTACATCTTCCACACTCGGCGATCCATGTCTCCACGTCGCTGTGCATTCCAGGCCAGTAAAATCTATCCTTGATAAGTGACAAGGTTCTGTCTTTACCTGGATGACCCATATCATTGTGCATTGCCTCTATTACAGTTGATGCATGTGCAATGGGTAGGACAAGTTGATGTTTCACTCCTTCGTCTGTTGTTGTTTCTCGATGCAGCACACCATCTATTATCCTCAAGTTGTTAAATTGTCGTAACAGGGGGTTTGGTCCTACTTCCTTCCTGGATTGTTTAACTTTGGACCTAAACATACTCCTTCACTCTTTTAATGTCTGGATCTAGATCTTGTGCTTTAAACCAATCAATAATATTTCCCGTACTGGTTCCTCGTGGATCCTCATCATCAACAACTAGCGTTGGAGACAAAGTCAGAGATTCTACATAAGCTGGTACAGTTGACTGGCAAATGGCTTGTACAGTCTCAGTGTTGATGGGTAGACAACTGAGACCATCAGCATCAGCATTGTTCCTTCCTGCTCTATACTTGATGTTAAAGTTGAAAGAAGCAAGGGCTGCTAACCACCGATATCCAGTCGCGTCCAATTTGGCTGTAGTCAACACATAGGTAACAGGGTTGTTATCTGTTAAGACTGTGAAATGTTGGCCAAACAGGTAGTCCTTGAACTTATCGCAAACTGCCCACTTTAATGACAAAAATTCTCTTTTATGTGGAGGATAATTTCTCTCTGCCTTGTTGAGTCCACGGCTGGCATAGCTGATGACACGCTTCACTCTGTTTTGCTCCTGATATGACTGCTGCTAGTGAATCACCTGAGGCATCTGTATGCAACTCGTAAGGTAAGGTACTGTCGGCATATCCTAATATCGGCGCAGAAGCTAAGTGAGTCTTCAGTGTCTCAAAGGCTTTGTCCTGTTCAATTCCCCAATGCCATTCTTTAATCTGTTTGTTCTTTCCTTTTGACTTCTTCTTGAGAGGAGATGGCTTCAAATCAGTCAATGGCCTTCAGATCCTACTGAAATTCTCAATAAACCGTCTATAATATCCGACGAATCCAAGAAATCTGCGTACATCCTCTGGTGTTTTTGGTTTTGGCCAATTTACAACTTTCTCTGTCTTCTCCGAATCTATCTCGACACCATTCTGTGAAACAATATGGCCAATGAACATTACTTTTCTCTTGAAGAATTGGCATTTGGATGGAGCTATTTTCAGTGTAGCCTCTCTTATTCTGTTGAATACAAGCTGTATGTTGTGCAAATGTTCTTCGAAAGTCTTGCCAAAAATTATCACATCGTCTATGAATAAACATCACTTTCAAATTCAGGTCAAATTATATGTTCTCCATAAGTCTCTGGTACGTTGCCGGAGAATTAGTGAGGCCAAACGGCATGCGATTGAATTCATAAATTCCTACAGAAAATGCTGTGCATTCCTTATGGCTCTCCAATATCTCCACCTGATGATATCCTGACTTCATATCAATGTGAGAGAAGAACTTATTTCCTGCCATACAATCTAAGAGATCCTCAAGTCTTGGAAAATCGTAACTGTCCTTCTTGGTCAGTTGGTTCAGTTGTCTGTAATCAACGCATAATCGCAGACTCCCATTCTTCTTTCTTACAAGTACTATAGCACCACATTAGATGCGTATGGAGAATGTGAAGGTCGTATGATACCAATGTCAAGTAGTTGTCTCAGATGCGATCTTACTTCGTCAAACATGAATGCAGGAATTCTTCTGTATCGCTGTTTAAAAGGGGTGTCATCTAACAAATCTATCCTATGCTTCAATCTCTGTGTGTTCCACATCATGGTCTCCTTTGCTGAATATATTCGAAAACTGTAAAAGAAGATACTTACCCTTCTCCAACTGTTTATCTGATAAATCACTCTCTATGATGTCAATCTCATCTAAAAGGTTGAACTTCTCAGACGGTTCAGGCATCTTAGGTAGGTCTTCAATTATGACGGGTTGAACCTCACATATGATACCTCTGGATGGAGTAGTCAAAGTCCTTGAAGTTGTGTTATATAGATGAACTATGACCTGCCTGTCTGTTATTCCTGAAGTAATAAGGTCTTAGAACTGGTTCGACATCAAAATCTTTGTAATCTGGTGATAATTCAGTTAACTGAAGATTAGAATTGTAGAATAGGTGAGCATATTGATTTTTGTCATTACATGTGATTTCATAATCATCATCCAAGACTATGGAAGATTATATGCTTTGTAGTTTGTAAATAGTTTGAGATTATTTTTGTTGTTGTAAATATTTGATTGATTGCCAAATGTAACAGAGACAATTTATTGCCTCTTTCATGTATCTTACTTTACCACAATATGGTCTATGATCTAAGGGGATTTTCTGCTTAAGTGTACCATTCTTTGTATTGTGTACACGGGCTTCTGGTCTCCCTTTAAATGCAGCGTCGACGGTGATTATTTCGTCTTCAGATTTCCAGTCGCATCCTGTTACGTGAGATTTTCCCTTTTTCTATGTTTATCAAATTCGACGGAATATATGTTCGTCCTCCAAACTGTATTATTTCCGCGTCCCTCTCACTAGAGGAAGTAGATGAACAGTCCCATAGTTCTGGTATTACTTTCGTTTCAAATGACATACTTGAATGTAGCGAAGCATCGGTCCGCAGATTTATTTCGCTAGATGCTCGCTTTAACAACCAGGTATTTTCTTTCCCTTGACAAACATTTATCTGACTTGCCCATCGATTGATACTGTTCTTTTTTTCCTGTAATTCATCTGAATGGACTTTTGCAACGGGTAGTGCATCAGAGTGTTTTTGCCTCCAATTCCCAAAAGTTGCCAATTCAAACAATCCTTTTATTGATGGATCAAAGAAAATAGTAATGTTTTGAACTATCTCTTCCTTAACTTTTTCAACGCATGCTTGTACTTCTAAATAAGTATTCTTTACTCTCTTCCTTTCGAGGAACCCACGGATTCCTGAGCTGGCCCTAGACACTGATATTATACTTTGTACATTTTCCAACACACATTTATTTCGTCGCAGAGAAATGCAATTGGATTCTATTTCATGTAGCTTAAAATAAGCAATTTTGTAAGATTCTGCCAGTAAGAAATCAGTGTTCTCGAGAGATTTTTTCCCCCAAAGTTTCTCCAAGCGTTTGATTGAAAGAAGTTTCCAATCGTAGATTCCACCTTCGATAAATTTAGGACGATGGTTTTTATTTCATCAAGAAGTGATTTTATGCAGGTTTTCAACGCCAATAGTTCGGAATTAACCTTACTTGATATTTCTGATATATTTTTGAGTTCGCTAGAACATACATCCATACCCATATGCCAGTCTTATAAAAATTGACTTAGCAATGTTTCTTACACAATAGATCTTAACCATGTCATACTAATAAAACTTTGATTCATTCATACATAATACAGACCACACGAATTCAAGATGTCTCTTATGCATCTCAACCATTCTCCAATATCACATCCGTTTAAATCATTATTATAAAAAAATCATTATAATTGTTTAACCTTACTCTCTTCATTCACAATGAATTTAATTTAGCAGTACTCGATTTTTCTTTGTTCAACTTTATCAAAAGATTTTTTCCCTTTACTTAGAATTAAAAATAAATGATATATTAATGAATTTGTTACGATCATATCCTTTACAATAAATAAAAAATTATACAGAGCAATAGAAAAAAACTTAATATTTTCTAAATCTAAAAGATTTTTTTTAATTTTCAGCAAACTATACGCCTTCCAAATGAAGTATCTAGCTGCTCTAGCGTTAGCGGTCATGTTTAACATTAACTGCTGTGAGGGATGTTCGATTTGGAATCAGGATAAACCTTCGCACCACAGTTAAGGTTACAAATGGAAATATCGGCGATTTTTTAAGATAAAAAATGCATACTTTATTAGGATGGGCGATTCTTTTTTGGACTTCACTGATACCAAAAAAATGTAATGTGGTTTAAATTTAAATGTTTGGGACATTTAGATTTTTTATTTAGACTTGTCACGTGATGTCGACGTCACATGATTTCAGAAATTATACTTGCAGTTAAGAGGTCATCTATAAATTCCAATATTGCAAGGGCATAACCAAGTTAAAAAATCTTAGTTTATTTTATAATCCTTTTCAACATATGTAGTTTGTGAAAAATGCTTCGAACCTATATAGATCCCCTTTTTTAATTGCTAAAATTTAATTTGTCAGACGGCAGGTTGAATATTTTGCTGGTCAACTACATTAGATAAAGCTATAATTAATTTATTTGCAAGGTTTCGTGACGTTCGCAGCGCTTTTCAAATACTTAATGCTTCTTGAGTTTATGTGTAAAAACTTGACAAGGTATTGAGGGTATGCCCTTGCAATAAATCGATTTATTAGGGCCCTTCCATAACTTTTTCAATGATTCTGCATACAAACACAGGACACTATCACTTGTCTGGAGAATGTACGGATATTTTCTAAATGAAATACTAAAATAGACATCGCATCCAAGTTAACAGCTCTTTATCTAATTGAAAATTATATTTTATTTGAGAAAAAAGACATTTTTCATTGTACAAAATGTGACTTGATCAGCTTCTCGCTGTGCACAAACTGCGTCATTTTTGCGAGATGACGTCACATTGACAAGTACGTTGCGATCGATGCATCGTGTATATACTGTTGTGTGGGATTTAACAAACGAAAAAACTGAATGTAATAGTAAGTTTGTATGTAGTATACAGCTATCCAGCTGTTTGAAATAGCAAATAATTTCATTTTCTGGTATTTTGAAGACCTTATATTATGTGTGACGCCATAGTAAACATTTTCCTATAAAATAGGCCCCGCCTACTTACTTTAACCTTAAGTACGGGTCTCTGTAAGAATCAGGCAATATGTGTATAAAAGTGAATCATGAGGGTTCTCAGAATTGGATGATTTTACACATATAGGTTTCTCTTACACTATTAACAATGTATGTAAAATGAAAATTATTTTGGGTCCTGGTTACTATGGAAACATGGCCAAAGAAATTTTCCCTAGCAACCGGTCAATTTTCAATGTGGATGGACAAATATATCACTAAAGGCTTGAAATTGAATGTAAATATTACTAGAGGGATTCTTAAATAATGTTATCATAAAGATAAACATTTCAAGTGATAAAACCATGTAATACATAGAATATTTATTTTAAGATGTTTCTTTTACGGGCAATGGAAAATATGCATGTTTTGTATTTTTTTCTGATTCAGCATTTTTGTTAATTTGGGCAATTTTGAAGGCCATATATCTCAAACTTCTTGCATAATACAAGAGTATGGCATATTTTACATAAAGGCAAAGGAATATGCTTTTTTGAATTTAAATTCAAAAACGTGTGTTTTTTTAATATTTACAATCGGTTGCCTGGCAACAAAAATGGATGTTTTGATTAAGAGAAAGAGACAAATTATCAAATATGCGAGTTATTCATGGAATTAAATCTTATCGGTGGATACCAAAATCAATTTTTAAAGTAAAAACATATTTCTGAGACTTCTTTATGAATTCAGGAATATTTTGCAAATACTAATCGCCATAGCAACAGAAAATTCCCCATAGCAACAAAGAAAATAAATCCACTTTTGACACGCACTCATAAATGTTTGTAAAGATTATTCAGTGTTTGACAGACCACAGTGATGTAAGAGCATCAGTACATTTTTTGTACTTTATTAGTCCCCAACCTGTGAAACTGGAGGGGGTTATAGGTTTCCTCTGAGTCCGTTCGTCGGTCTAGCTGTCCCCATGTCTGTCTGTAACTCTGTCCTACTTGGGTTTCCGCAGTTATTTTCTAAACGCTTGCAGATATTGAGCTGAATTTCGGCATGTGAGTGTACCTTGGTTAGTTACAGATTAAGTTTGAATGTCGTTAGGCTTCATTGATTTTTGATAGATTTGTGGCGTTTTAATTTTTTCATAATGGTTTAAGATCTGGTTCGTGCTGCGCTAAATTCCAACGGTCAACATGGTAAACAAGATGTTGAAAAAATGAGTTGAATTTCCGTTATGTGTTTTATTTTTTTTTTAGATTAAAGTCACGCATAACCTCAAAACTTTAATATCAAACACTTTTACCTTGGTCATAACTTTTGCATATTATAAAATGACATTCTAGAGAAAAGGGGGAACCCGGTAGAGGACATGCATTGCTTATGCAATAATCTCAGAATGCTTGCAAGGTTAACCATGGCAACAACAATGAGCATGTAGCTATCATGAAAAGTTATTAAGCGCCATCATCTATAATGACCTGAACATTTATATAGGAGCTGTACATGTGGTATGTACTGTCTCTGAATTTCTTAAAACTCCCTTTAAAGTCTTTGACATTGTTATTGAAAGTTATGCAAAAAATTGGTGTTATGTGTCATTGTTACCATGGCAACATGTCATAAATTTTGAAAAAATATGGCATTTTTTAACATGTTTAGAGTGTTATAGTTAACATTTGTACCTAAACAAACAAGTGGCAATGTTCCAGGCAATAAAAGTAAGACGAGTTTTCTTTCGAAAACACACGTTTTTGAATTTAAATTCCAAAAAGGATATTCCTCTGCCTTTATGTAAAATATACCATACTCTTGTATTATGCAAGAAGTTTGAGATATATGGCCTTCAAAACTGCCCAAATTAACAAAAATGCTGAATCAGCAAAAAATGCAAAACATTCATATCTTCCATTGCCCGTAAAAGAAATATCTTAAAATAAAAATTCTATGTATTACATGGTTTTATCACTTGAAATGTTCATCTTTATGATAACATTATTTAAGAACCCCTCTGGTAATATTCACATTCAATTTCAAGCCTCTAAGTTTAGTGATTTATTTGTCCATCCACATTAAAAATTGACTGGTTGCTAGAGAAAATTTCTTTGGCCATGTTTCCATAGTAACTAGGACCCAAAATAATTTTCATTTTACATACGTGGTTAATAGTGAAAGAGAAACCTATGTGTGTAAACTGTAAAATCATCCAATTCTGAGAACCCTCATGATTCACCTTTTGTCTGATTCTTGCAGAGACCTGTACTTAAGTGTACTGCGTTGTCATTGTGCTTGTGAGGACCGGAGTGAGTCCTGTAGACAGACCTGCTACTTGATGTGTCGATATTCACGCTGCAGAAGCACCGAGCTTATATAACAGAGGAGATGTTACGACAACTGCTTCAACACTTTCAGATCCTGTTACAACGGTTGCGGTGGTGGATAGATGGTATACAGCGAGAAACATCAGCAGCAACATACAATAATGTAAAGATCTTATAAAATCCAAATGCTGATTAAAATACTCGACATAAACGTTATTTGTTGCTTTTGGTATACTTGTATTATTAGTGAAAACTGAACCCTTTTTACTGCAAGGAATGTTAAAATATAGTCTTTAGAGACATTTTCAAATAAAGTTTCCCACTCATTGTTGTCTTGTTTCTCTCTTTTTTCATAAAACACCCATATTTATCATCAAGAGGGAAAGGATGTTCTTAAATGAAATACGAATGTAGATAATAAACTGAATATTCTAGCCCAAAGGGCCATTAAACAATACACATTCTGGATCAGAGCAAAAGGGGACCTTTAAAAAAATCAGCTGGGATCAGGTGCCATATAGGAGTAAGCATCTCCTGGTCACACTTTATACACCACCATTTCCCAAAAGTAAAGGCTTTTTGATATCATTGAAATTTGTTTTTTCAATAAAAATGGATCTCGTAAATTGACTTACCTTGTCATTGGTAATTTGCATAATTATGTTGTTAAAAACATTCTGATTGTACACACAAGTACTCTGATATTGACATTAAAAAAGATGCTTGAGTTTTTGATTGACAATATTTTTGCAGCTTTTAGAGAGCAGATTTTCCAACAATATATTGGAATTCCCATAGGTACATGTACCAACGGTGCCCCGTTGTAAGCAGAACTATTTTTGTGCTTATATGGAGCAGAATTTTCCCTAAATCTGATATGTTAAGAAGAAAACATATATTGTGGTTTTCAACTCGAGATTGAGATATTGAGATATATCGACAAGGTATTGCCCATTAACAATGGTATTTCCATTCTTATGTCGATACGATATATCCCGGTGAATTTGAGATAAAAGATGCCAATGAGTTTTACACATCTGTTTCATATTTGGATATTTGGATATTATACTTGAAAAAATGTAAGTGGTAATCTATAAACCAAGCTCTATGATAAACGATGACTTTAACTTTTCTATCATCAAATTCCCGTACTTATGCAGCAATATACCTTCATCACCTGCATACGGAGTTTATATCTCTCAGTTGATTCGATATCCAAGAGCATATTCTACGTATGTACAAGTTCTGAAACGAGTTAAATTGTTAAAAAGAAAGTTGATGAAACAAGAATTTCAGCAGTCCCATTTAAAGTCATCATTTTGTAAGTTGTATGGTCAATGCGATGACCTTGTCAGCAAATACAATTTATCATTGAGTTTCATACTAATTGATAGGCCATTATTTACACTGACCTATCGACAGATTTTCCCGTTATTTCCCAATCATGACAAGGAGCAGAAGGTGGGTGTGACCGGTCGACCAGGGATGCTCACTCCTCCACGGCACCTTACTCCACCTCTGATGTTTTGAAGGTCTGTGTTTGCTCTGCTCCTATTTTGTATTGTTAGATGACTTTTTGAGCTTGAAAACTGTTCGGTATCTCTAAATGTTTCATTTCAGCAGTAAAGAGCGTTATCGCCAGAGACGGCAAACTGACCGTGAACCAGTTTGCCAAGAAGCTCGGGTAGCATTTTAAAGATTTCAAAAGAACGTTTAGGATTTTGGAAAGTATAGTGTATCTGCGATGTGAATCCCACACATTTTAAATGACAAGCAAAAAAGAAAGCGGTTGCAAATTAGTCGAGAACTTTGAAAAATTTACTGAAAATATGATAAAAGACGTTTCCATGAAATTGTTCGGGGATGCAAATTGGCTATATTTTTATGAACCTGAGAGAAACCTTGGAAACAAAATGTGTCTCACAAAACAAAGTAAACGACCTACAATTGCTAAACGCGACAAGACAGCAAGGAGGGTTTTGTATACAAAATTTTTTAACTAACTGGATAGTCGCTCAGATTCCAATTTTAAAAAGGATAAAAGTGTTAATTAAGCTGTTGGAGTAAAAAAGATACTGTCTGAAGTAAAAAAGCACTTCAAAAACAGCAGACTGAAGGCCAAAATAAGGGGGACCAATCTTTTACATGATAAAGCCCCAGTACACACAAGATGTCGTGTGTGAAAATGGAATAAGGCGGCTAGATCATCCCCGTTCTCACCAGATTTATCCCAATGTCACTTTTTCTAATTCCGTGAATTGAAAAAATGCTATTTGAACGGTGTTTCCATTCGTGTTCATCTGTTTATCAGTGTCTAATGGCAATACCTCTTTCGGAGTTTAGTGGAGCGTTCCAAAGCTGGATAAAACGACTTCAAAAATGTGTTGAAGAAAAGGGTGATAATTTAGAAGGGATGTAAATGAAATACAAAAAAATATTAATATGCTATTTCTTACTTTATTGAAGTCTCAATATCTATTGAATAGCCTCGTATAAGTATTTCAAAAGCAAAATAAGTATTTAAAAAGTCACATGGTCGATTTGAACGGCCATAGTGTGGTTACAAGCTTTTGAAAAACTATTTACAATTTTATTTAATAATCAGAATGTTAAGATTATAACATGATTGTCCCAGTGGTTAAAACGTTTGCTGTTGAGTCGCAGAGTGATGAGTTCATCATTACCATCCGAGTTCGAATCCTACAGCGGATTGTGGAAATCGATCTTTTCTACAAAGATTGTGTAGACCGAGGTTGCGTGTGGTTGTAGTTGCTGGAACGAAAGAGATCTGCACACTGCGCAAAGACCGAAAATGTGTATGTTTAAATATGCAGTCCTCCATTGGTTAGTGGTGAAGTCTCAATAAGAGTTAAATTTTTTTGAAGGGACGTTAAAACAAACAAAAAAAACACCATTATGATTTCTGTTGTGTATTTATTTGTAGGTATAATCGTATGTTACAGTGTTCAAATTTACAATTATCCAATGTTACTAGTATTTATAAAGTTAATTGCAAATAAAGTATCACGTGAATATAATTCATAAAACTGAAACTGATAATCACCTTTGGCCCGGCTCTTTTTTTCCGATAGCATCATATAAAGTACTGTATTCATATGTGCCAAAGAAGATAAATCGTTGACATGATCATAATTAGATAATACAAAATAGAGATCACAAAGGTTTCATCTACAAATATCAAAATAAGATTAAATTTAACATGTCCCTGAACTTTTGATAAGTTTTTTGAGATTAAATAACACAATCACAAGATTTCCATAAATATCCGATAACGTTAATTTGTTCAAATCAAACAATATTTTCTAGGTCAAATAAGTTCCAAAGTCAGCTTTATCAGCCTTGTTTGAAACGTTCAATTGAAAACTCCTTCATAATCTTGTTATTTGAAAATTTAGGTTTGCACAACTCCACTCAAACAGAACTAGATAGGTATGAAGACTTGTTGACACAAATCAGTAGACAAAGAGACATGAAAAATCCATTGACAAATATTTCACAATAATCTTGCAAATTCTGGGAGTTATACTATGTGTTGCTTAAAATATCATTATTTCTCTATGCGGTGAAATACAGAAGACTAAGATCTGATTATGTTGATCAAAAGGTTGTAAGGAATGTGTTACAATTTATCTAATTTGAAGCATATATATCTGCTACATTATTTGTGTAACGTCCTCCCCTAACTATACATATTTTTGATTTGTCTTTGGAAAGCGATATTGCAGTTGGATTTTTTCCAACTTCATATTTCTTTAAACATGATCCACTTTTGCTCAAAACTAAAAGTTTATCAGAACCTTTTTCACAAACATACAAATTTTTGGCTTCATCAAGGATTAGTCCTGCCGGTCCTTTCTTGTCGGTGTCTTCATATGTAAATCGATTATCGCCATTGCCCATTACGCTGAAAACTTTGTTGTTTTGCAGGTCAGTGTAAAAAATTAAGTTATTATTGTACGCACAAATATATCTGATATCATCTCCGCCAACAGTTAATGTTTTTGTTTCATCAAAATCACTGTCGCAGAACACTATTCTATCCTTGCCAGCAATAAGCGTCGTCCCTTTTCCGCAATAGCATACACCATAGCAATTGATTGAAACGTCGATGAATTTATTGGCACTAAGATCTTCAAAACTGCCAATTAATAATTTCTTCTCTTTCGGGAATGTCATGACAAATGTATTTTCGGACAGGACAGTTACATTATATGGTTTATGATTTAAGGGAATTTTTTGCTTTACTGTACCATTCTTCGTATTGTATATACGGGCTTCTGGTCTCCCTTTTAATGCAGCGTCGACGATCATTATTTCGTCTTCAGATTTCCATTCGCATCCTGTTACGTGAGAATTTCCATTTTCTATGTTTATTGAATTTGACAGAATATATGTTCGTCCTCCAAACTGTATAACCCTCTCACTAGATGAACAGCCGCATTGTTCAGGTACTGGTTTCGTTTCGAATGGCTTACTTGAATGTGGCGAAGCTTCGGTCCGCAGATTTGTTTCGCTAGATGCTCGCTTTAACAACCCTGTATTTTCTTTCCCTTGACAAACATTTATCTGACTTGCCCATCGATTCATGCTGTTCAATTTTCCCTGTCTGTCGTCTGTTTCAGGTTTTGTAATCTGTAAAGTATCAGACTGTCTTTGACTCAAACTCCCAAAAGTTTTCAGTTCAAACAAACCTATTATTGATGGATCAAAGAAAATGGTAATCTGTTGAACTTTCTCTCCTGTAACTTTTTCAACGAATGCTCGTACTTCTAAAAAAGTATTCTTTATTCTCTTTTTCTCAAGGAACCCACGGATTCCTGAGCTGGCCCTAGATACTGATATCATACTTCGTGCATTTTCCAACACACATTTTTTTCGTCGCAGAGAAATGCAATTGGACTCCATTTCATTTAGCTTAAAATAAGCAATTTTGTAAGATTCTGCCAGTAAGAAGTCAGTTTTCTCCAGAACTGTTTTTTCTAAAGTGTATCCTAGTGTTTGTAAGGCGCGTAGATTTGATTGAAAGAAGTTTCCAATTGTAGATTTCACCTCCGATAAATCCAAGACGATGGTTTTTATCTCATCAAGAAGTAATTTGATGCAGATTTTCAGACCCAGTAGTTCAGAATTGACCTTACTTGATATTTCTGATATATTTTTGTGTTCGCTAGAACATATATCCATATGGTAACAGGAGATGCATGTGTCACAGCATATTTTTTCTGTTAATTTACATACTCGAGTGAAACGTAAAAAATGACGCTCGCACATATCTCGCGCCGAGGAAAGCAGTGTTGTAACCTCATTTGTGTCTTCTCTTTTGTAGGTTTTGTGATTTACAAGAATAGGTAAAGAAGTGTGAAAAACATAACATTCATCACAGATGTAAACAGCGCAATCATAGCACCAATATGCCGAGGCAGTTGTCTTCCCTCGATTTCTACATGGTGTGCAGTCAGATTTTTGAGACTGTTTGGAGAAATCTAGCAAAGTAAGAATTGCGTTTGGCGGTGAAAGGGATTTAATTATTTTTTCTTTTACATCCTGTGTCTTTGATATATATTCCAGACGTGTTAGATAGTTACAGGATTTGCACTTCAGAGAAAAACTGTCAGTCTCGGATACACTGTTTTCTTCTAACAATTTCATTAAACATGGTTTACAAAGGGAATGAAGACATCGCAGTGTTACTGGTGAGACCAAAACTGTATTGCAAAAAATGCAGTTTAATATAGAACACGCTTCATTCTCTCCTTCCATTTCAATCTGTCCCGTTTTTATTCTGGTGTCTGTAAATGAATAAAAAAACATAGAAATGATAAAAAATACGATGTCTCATAAAAATACATGTAGAATAAAATTTCCGATATTTGAGAACTTTGTTAACCTTATATTTGGACATTTGAAAGAAGCACATGCTTTTACAATCGAGAGCTTGAAATTTACACTTTTTTTATTTCATATACGGAGTTTCAGAATAACACATAAATGTGAAAATCTTAAAGGTGCTTAGACACAGATTTGAATTTAATATTTTCTTACAATTTCTATATAGTTCGTGACTTACATCTTGTGCTTTAGAATTTCATGCTAAAATATAGTAAAAATCTTACTTTAATCGAAGTTATTGAAACTTCAAATGTTTGGACGCGTTTGATCGACACATCCTTGAACTTACAAAATTTCAAAATCTATTCTTAAAACTTAAGATAAGTAGCAATTTTGTTGTATTAATGAAAATTATTAAAACTTTAATTCAGAAAAATTCAGAGTAGAAATTTTCGAAAGCAACAAGTCTTTTGTCTTCATAAACTATGTGCAAGTTATAACAAGCTGCTTTACGAATTTACAAGAAATAAGTTAAACTTTATACAATAAAGCCAAAAATATGTTCAGCAAAACAACCTTATCATCTGCTTTTTATAGAGCATGTTTATGAGTAATATGTGTGCCGAATTTCATTCAAATCTAAATTGCGGTTTTATAAATACACCAATAGATAATTCGATAACTTCTTATCACATCTCGTACTTTAGATTTTTTTGTTAATATAACGACCCCAGGAGGGTAATTTTAGGTAAAACACATAGGTTAAAGTTTTCATAAAATATTTATATTGAAAATCTGATATCATCTCTTTAAGAACGGTAAAAACATAATGTAGTCATATTGATGAAGAAGCCTTCTCAGATAGATAACACAAAAAGACTTTTTTTCAGAAATCAGCAATATTTCTCAAAGATTAATTTTCAGATAGGTAACTTGAATTATATTTCTGAGTAAAGTAGGAGTTTGTAAAATTTTGTCCCAATGTCAAAATATCTGCAAGATTCCCTATTGTGGCCCCGCCCTACCCCCGGGGGGAGGTCATGATTTGAACAATTTAGAATCTACACTACACCAGAATGCTTCCACATAAGTTTCAGCTTTTCTGGCCTAGTGGTTCTTGAGAAGATCTGACTGACGTTTTTCATGCCAATTGTTAGTCCATTATTTATACACTGAATTGACGACGGAATTTTTTCCGTTATTTCCTGATCATGACAACGAGCACACGGCGGGTGTGACCGGTCGGCAGGGATGCTCACTCCTCCATGGCACCTGATCCCACCTCTGATGTTTCGGAGGTCCGTGTTTGCTCTGCTCTTATTTTGTATATTGTTTAATGGACGTTGAGAATGAATACTGTTCGTTATCTCCATATCCTTCTTTAAAGATTTTTTTTATATACAAATGTATTTCTATGTAAAACTTTGTTTCCCCATTGTGGCCCCGCCTAACCCCCTGGGGTCATGATTTGAACAATTTAGAATCTACACTACTCCAGGATGCTTCCACATAAGTTTCAGCTTTTCTGGCCAAGTGGTTCTTGAGAAGAAGATTTTTTAATGACCCCACCCTATGTTTGTGTTTTCTTGATTATCTCCCCTTGTGAGGGGACTTGACCCATCATTTTTACAATTTAAATTCCCTTTAACCCAAGAATATTTTATACCAAGTTTGGTCAAAATTGGCTCAGTGGTTCTTGAGAAGAAGTCGAAAATGTGAACTAAAATTTAACACATGAGTATATAGGAGAATAGTTTGAAATTCTTTTCCCAAGGAACAACAAGCGAATTAGTTGTCAGATTTAGATAAAAGCATTTGCAAGTAGTGTTGATTGATTTTTTCTTTACAATCAGGACCAATGAAAAAAGGGTGGACTACAATGGGCAATCAAAGTTTTACTTAGGAATACATGAGATTTTTAAAGGATTTTCCCCAAACAGCAAACATGCTTTTCCATATGTTATTCAAGTAATGAACCCCTAGGAAATATAGGGACATAAAAAGAAAACAAACTTCAACATTTGAATATGGTTACAGGAAAAGGAAAAGGAAACTGCTAATAAATCAGAAGGCCTCAGGTAAGCGCTCTGCAATTTCAAAACATTGAATGACTTTTTTGTAGGGATTTTTCACTGATCAAAGAAAGAAGTCGTAAAAGTTCTTGGTACAAAAACAACATTAATGCCTGTTATTCTTAAAATCTATTTTGGTTCTAATTGATACGATTGTTAACTTTCTGAATTATTGCGAAATTGTTAACTTACTGCGGTGTCTAAATTCTAGCTCTCTGCAACCATATTTTTTGCTTTATACAAGATATTATCTCTTCACATTTTAGTGAAACATCAAATAAAAAAAATATCTGCAGTTAATCATCCATTTTTCTAATGTATACATTACTCAAGTTGTCATTTTATTATTTTTTTTAAATTAGTTTGAATGATTTGTCTTTAAGAGGGAGATATATGTATGGATTAGATTATAAAATATATCCTTATTATATCTTGAACATACTGTCAAAATTCCGTCTTCTTTAAAACAAGTAAAAATACTTGGAAGGGCAAATGTCTTAACATCTCTGCATATTTTTCTATTGTGAATCTGATTGTATTTTAAGATGGTCCCTATAAAGTTTCCCTTATCTTTGCATGTTCACTAATATCAATAGTAAATTACATATTATACATGTAGTTCTTCTAATAGCAGTTTTCAATAAATAGATTCTTAGTCAGCTCCCTTACTTAAAATTTGCTTGGACCATTTATTTAATTTTTTCCATTCACCAAAAGTTTACGCAGAATTGCAGTTTTAATTTTTTTTTTTTGGGGGGGGGGGGTCTTGTAGAAAACTTGAGAGGTTTCCAGGTGTGTTTTCACTTTTTGTCACCAACGACCTTTTAATTATTACTTTCGACATCAACAGATGGGAAAGAGTCTTCGAAGTTCATAAACAGTTTATATTAATATTTATATATACATTAACACTGACAATTCAGTTGAATCTGGGAAATGGTCCAAAATGGTGTCCTCCCTTGTGTTGTTCTATTTTTACGTGTAATGATTTTTAAAACTATTTATTACACACCGGGAAACATTTTGTATAGCTCAATGATTTTTCCCTTGCACAAAAGAAAAATGCATATAACATGTATAACATCTTCTAAATATACTATCACTTTTAGATACAATAAAAATAAAAAAAAAAAGGTATAAAAATTTTTAATATAGGAAAGGTAAGTATAACCAGAAAATGATATACCTTCCCCGTCGTCCACCATTGTTGACGTGTCCCACTTTGCACGTAGGGGTAAAGAGGTCAAGAATAGATAAAAGTTGACTAAAACAAGCTATTCCGATATAATTTGAATGTAGACATTGATAAATAAAAGTCAATGTATAAAGAAAAAACTAGTCGGAACTCCTCTGTCTCACAATACTGAAAACTATTCTACTTTCCTTGCAAAACTTTAGAAAAAAAAATGTAAACAATTCCGGAAATATAATATTTGTCAGTTATGCTTTCAAATTTAACATTTGTTATCTGTTTAGACTGATCTTTTGCCATGTTTGTCTGTTCTTCATTGTGTAAAGGATGAGCACTCAAGAACTTATTATCTGTCCAATTTGCTTCGAAAAATTCAACAAACCCCGCTATTTGCCCTGTCTGCACACGTATTGTGAAGAATGCCTGGCAAGTTACATTTCAACGTCTTACAAGGAAGAGGAGGAATGTTTTGTGTGTCCAACATGTCGTTCACCCAATCCAGTGCAAATGTCGGACGGCAAATCAGGAAAAGCAGTGGCTTCAAGTTATCCAATAAATCATTTAATAATGACATTGCTTGATCAACATCAATTGGAGAAGAAAGAGGCCATATGCCAACCTTGTGGTAAAAGGGGAAAAAGTGAAAGTGGCAAGTTTTGGTGTTACTCATGCAGTGCTGCCCTTTGTGAAGCTTGTGGAGATTTTCATACATCTTTACCTATACTTGCGGATCACAAAATTGCCCCTATTGATGATTCCAAAGATGCAGGTATGCTTACAGCGGATGACCATGACCATTGCGATATTCATACTGGAAAGAAGCTGGAAATGTTCTGTGAAGATCATGATGTTGCTTGTTGTGCAACTTGCACAATGGTGCATCACAGAAAGTGTGAAACAGTTTTGACATTACAAGATGCTGCACAAAAATCGAATGACAAAAAAGAAAATGAAAATATGGACAGTGAAATTGAAAAGCTTATTGAAAATATTGACTCAAAGGTTGACATGTTATCCACAAGTTATGATAAATTAGAAAAAGACTGTGAAACTCGTGGAAATGAAATTCAGGAGTTTAGTGATAAGCTGATAAAACATTTGAAAAAACTGAAAACAGAATTTGAAACTAAAGTTTCCGAAACTCTTGATGCAAAAATGAAAATGGTTCAAGATCGTCAACAAGCACTGCTTGATTTGCAAACAATGCTGTCTCATTGTGATAATCTACTTCAAGCAGCTGAAGAGAAATGTTCAAATGTACAGCTTCTAACACTGATACCTAAGATAACGAAGCTTACGAATGAGAGCGAAAAAAAGTTAGAAGAAATGAAGAAAAGTCCTATTATACTTGATTTAGAAGTCATCATCGAGAAAACACTTGAACAATGTGCAACAATAGAAACATTAGGAAAATTGAAGTAAAACTTTAGTTCTTCCATTCAATACGCACAAACATGGGAGAGGCTTGACTCAACATTCTAAAAAATGTTTTTCTTACCATCTGAATATTTAGACCATACAGAACCCACCTATTGAGAAATGCTGAAAATCATGCTATTGGGGATTTCAATTCTTAACAAGCTCTGACATTTTCTCTAGTAGTTTAAGGTCTCCAACAGTTTTCAAACTGTTTTGTATGAAGCTTAAAAATCGATTTCAAATGGTAAAAGACTATGGGTTGTGGAGTTTCCTTTACCTGCTATCTGAACCAAATGAACCCTTGTACATTAGTGTAAGGCTTTATGCAATACATTTTTGTTTCGCTGAAATGTTTCAAATTTGTTTTCTTCATAAAAAAATATTGATAAAGATTAAATGATTCATGATCTTCACACCTGGAATAATTCCCGCCACGTCTTTAATTAAGAAATGAATGTAATTTTTGAAGATTCATGAGGTTATGAACTACGACGCTTCACGCCGGCATATTTCATGAAGCGCGTTAGCCCTTCGTGATAAAATTATGCCGGTGTAAAGACGAATAATGACCGGGGGTCATTTTTCAACGACAAAAATGACCCCCTACCCGTAGAAAAAAATCATTTTTTGTAGAAAAAGTGTCCTAGGGGGTCATTATTTTATATGTTAATACTAAAAAAAATTGACCCCCATTGAGAATTGACCCCCTTTAAAGTGAAAAGAGATTCTTTAATTGTCAAGTAAATAAAATTTCTTTTTAATATTCCTCCTTATAGTGTTTGCTTAAAGAATGATATTCCACTTGTTTTTAGAAACCAAATCATGCAACAATCAGGTTCCCATACCCTTTAATAGAAAAATTAATTTTTCCTTCATTTCAACTTTTAGCTTGTATAAGTTTCGCAAATCCTATTTGACAATGAAAGAGTAGGAAATTTTTAACCCCCCCCCCCCCAAAAAAAAAATTACGTTAAAGCCGCTTCACCCGAAACAGGTACATATTATCTTAAACAATAAAAGTATGTCATTACATAGATAATATATAAAAATTAATTATTAGATTGATTTAATAGTTTATTACAACAATCCTTACATGGAAAACATAGACCAAAAACCTTGTTGACAAACAGCAGTTCCTGACGGGAAGTGAAGATCTGTTTTGAAGTCACCTTTGAAAAAAATACTTTTATCGGTTATATGTAATTATGAAGAGATTTCAAACCCGAGTATTTTTCCATTGATAGAATCCTAAGTCATGATATGAAAATTAAGAAATTAACTGAATATAATCCATAGTTATTTTTATATTAATATGCATATACAGAATAAAGGAAAATCAGATATTTTAAAAGATTTTTTAAAAAGGGAGTTTAGTAACGAGGGCTAGAATATTGCCCGTGTACACTTTGTTGTGGAAAAAATGCTCGGGTTTGTTATACATGTAAGCGTTAAATTTAATTTTTCGAAGGTGATTTCACGCAATGAAAACAAAGGATTATTTTTTGTGTGACTATGGAATGCCATATACGACAGCCAACTGCTTACTGCCAAATGCCAACTGCTAACTGCCAACTCTCAGCTGCTTACTGCCAACCGCCACACATATTTGAATAAATTTTCATATTTATTTTGATATATTCATGTGTATTTTCAAAAAACAGTCGCGGATCCAAGATTTTTTTCCCAAGAGGGACACCCGGCTAGAAAAAAAAACCAACCCAGAATTTTTTTGACAAGAAAAAAGTTAACTCGGTTCTTAAATGTGAAAAATTATTTTGGCACATGGGGGGGGGTCTCATGCTTTAAGTCTATGAGATTTTTCAATTAAACACAGATCCGCGTTTTAGAAGGGGGGGGGGGCGCAAGGTCCCTTTAAATTTATGCATTATATAAATTTCAGTTGGTTAAGTTTGTACATTGAATACCTTTATAAATTTTAAAGGGATGATCCGGACCCCCCCCCCCTCCCCTGTGCATATAAAACATAACTTATTTTGTAAAAACAAAGAGATATAAATCTTTGAGGAAAATGTTCAAAGGTTCAAAATTAACGGGAAATTGAAATTTATTTTTCAAAATAACTCCACTGGGAATCAACAACAAATCCTTTTTTCAGTTTTTATCCTTTCCAAAGATTTTGTTGTGTCATGTGTGTGTGTGGGGGGGGGGGGGTAAAAACAGGAGAATAGTTATTTTATAAGATAAAAATAAAAAATAATATACTTTATCAATCTCCATATGTTGAATTTTACATTAAAACATAATAAAAACATACGATGAGATTAAGGAGTCATTTATCCATTTTCATTAGTATTTGAAGATCTGATGATATGTTCTGTCTGATTTCAATTGATAAAATATACCCCTTATTAAAGGAGTTATACATTAGAGCAATTGACTTTTTGTCAATGGTTTTTAGAATAAGTACTTAAAACTGACCTTGGATCCCCCCCCCCCCCCCCGAAAACGCGAATCTGTATTAAAGTTAATTTGTATGAAAATTCATAGATATGAAAATATGGAGCATAACCCACCCACACCGCCAAAATAATTTTTCTTTCACGTTTACGAAAGGAGTTAACGTTATTTTTCTTGTCAAGAAATTTCTGAGTTCGATTTATTTTTACTGGGGTGGATCACTCATGGAAAAAATCCTGGATCCATGGTTTTTTTTTTTTTTAATTTATTACTATTACACCCTTAGTTTTGACTTTCAGTAAGGCGTGGCATTCTCGACGTTACCTAATTAGCTTCTGAAATTTACACAGCTTCCCATCACTGTTGAAATATACATGTGATAGAGATGCGGCCGAATGTCAACTGGTGTAGTAAATAGCCAATTAAAAGTTCTCTCACGGCACAGAGGTGGGGCATAAGTCGTCTCATCGTTATCAACAACAATTTAAAGTTCCTGATGTTATGAATTTCGTAACCAATGGGAATCTACTAGTATTTGCTTTTACGTAGCGCCGAGAAAGTCACGCCCTACTGAAAGTCCAAAGTAAGGGTAAAATCATACTATTCTTTTTATTTTGTTATTTATTTACTTTTTTTTTCTTTTTGACAATTCACATAAATATCAACGAAAATAGGAAAATTCATTCAAATATGTGTGGCAGTTGGCAGTAAGCAGCTGACAGTTGGCAGTAAGCAGTTAGCAGTTGGCAGTAAGCAGTTGGCTGTCGTATATGGCATTCCATATGTATGACCTTACAAAAATTATTTTTTTAACTTTTGAATTTTGATATCTTTAAAAAGAAAAAGACTTTGGGGATATAATTTGACAAAAGTTGAAATAATTTATGGACAATTATTTTTCAAGAAGAAAAACGAATATATTTTTTAGCGATTAGAATCGGACCAAGCGGCTTTAAATCAAAACAAACAAAAATTAAATTAAAAGCAAAAATATAAATAAAACTCTGTACCTTTCCATAATACTGAAAGAGGCTCTAGATAAAATACTGAAATGAAGTTAATCCTTCAGAAAGTTGAATCATATCATAATTTACTTTGCCATGATTAAAGCATACTTTAAATGTTGGTGGGGGTATACTTGAAAGTATTGTGGCAGAGTTACACTTGAAAATTAATAGAAACGATTATTTTAAGCTTATTTTTAGTCCCTCCTTATAGAAAAATAAAGGTAGGGTAGTTTGTTTGTTTTTTTTTTTTTGCTTTTGTTGATAATCAACTTCCTCCTAAATAAGTAAGGGGTGGGGTGGGTATATCACCTAGAAATATGCTCTGTAAAGCTATGGGTTAGTGTAAAATACACATTCTAATGCAAAAACTATACATGTAGACATAACCTTTTGATTTAGCACACAGTATTCATTACATTTCTTAATTCTTGTTTTACTCCACAAATTAACCCAGTTCTGAGTATATTTTTCAGAGAATTTAATATGAAAATCAGAACAAACATTTTCATTTTTGTAACGTCTTCTTTATACTGTATCATAATATGAAAAGTTAATTGAAGACCATTTCTTTTTATGTCCCTGTAATCGAAGATTTGGGGGTATATACTAGTAGTTTTATCGTGTCCGTCTGTATGTATGTCTGTGTATCTGGCAGTCTGTTTCTCCGCAAAAACTTTAAACTTTACCATAACTTTTCATTTATTGTAGCTATATCTTTCATATTCAATATGTGTGCATTCCTTGTGACAAGACCTTACTTTGGGTACCACCAAATTTGACCTTTTGTCCTTTACCTTGGAGTTTGTCCCATTTTACACAAAATGCCAAATTTTTAATTAATTTACTTTGGCTATAAATTTTAAACGGTAGATACTAGTACTCTCATACTTCACAAAAGTAATCCTTGTTACATTAAACCTTTCTTAAGAAACCATCAACTTTGACCCTATGACCTTTGAGTTTGACTTACCTTTCAAAAACTTATCCTTAGTCATTAATTTTGAACAAGTGGTGCTAGGGCTTTCCTATTTTGCAATTGTATTTCTTGTGAGAAGACCCTTTTTTGGGTACCATTATATTTAAATTGCCTTTGAGAAAAGTTTAATCTTCGCTATGTTGCCATACAGGGGAATAGCTGTTTTACAAATACATCTTTTTATATATAAGAGGAGTTGCGGATAACAGATGGATACCCCAAAGCGTAACAGACGGACGGACATCCCAATTACTATATACCCTTCCGCTTTTCCAGCGGAGAATAAAAATATATATGATACTGCTGATTTTTTCTGTCAGTACGATGATTCCCACAATCGAAAGACAATGTTTACCTAACCCTTTAGGCTCGATAAATCTTTACTCCTTTACATTCTGAATCATCGCATTGACCTTAAAAATAACTATAATGGTATGTTATGAGATCAACATATCATCAATTTATTCCAAATTAGCTCAGGTGAGCATTTTGGCCAATATGCTTCTTTTTCTAATTTTTTTTTTTTTTTTTTTTGCCCCCTAAAAATTTCAGTTTGAATCAACAGGGAGTCATTTTTCTACGGGGGTCATTTTTCTTCAGGTGGGTTCTGCAAATTTTTAGGGTGGTGACACTT